GGACCTTGAGTGATACCTGCAGTAGAAAAGGGACTCGGACATGATTCTGGACCAGTCATTCAACATTGTATTATTATTTCTTGTATGAAGAAGAGAAGGGGGAGATAAGGAGGAGGAGATTGTTGGGTGAAGAAGAAGAGCCTTGTCATTGTCTTTGCTGGTGTACATCTTCTTCTCCTTCTTTTTTACTTCTTCTTCTTCTACTCCTCTCTCCCCTCTCAAGTTCATTCATTTCTTTCTGCAATTGGATGGCATTGTACTTTCCAGTGGATGTGTATCTCGAAATTGGCCGGGGTCATAACAAGGCTCTGTATTAGGTTGCTGGACGAATGGGACTTTTTTTTTTTTGAAATGTTATGATCCTGCTCCATCCACAGTGCAAAACTCAAAAGTGCAAGAAATGCAAGTCTTGGTGAAAGTCAAAAGCAGAGATGGAGCGAGAGAAAGATTAGATTAGAAGGGAAAGAATCAAAGAAGAAGAAGAATTACACAAGTTAGTTTCAATTAATTTGCAAGCATTGAAAAGTTCTCTTTTTGCAGTGGGAGGTCTAGCAGTTCAGCTGATTCCCGGGGATAGTTTTGTCCACGTATCTTAGGAAGTTAGGAATCTTCACCTTGATTGCAGCGCTGCCCCTGTGGGGGGTGGTTTTCTCTGGTCGTGTATAGTTCCTAAAAAAAAATCATTGCGGTGTCTAGCATCATCTGTTTATCTGATGAGATCTACTCGTTGCAGGCTCTGTATTAGGTTGTTGGACGAACTGAACTCTATTCACTGAAATCAGTGAAATGTTATGATCCTGCTCCATCCACAACGCAAAGCTCAAATTGCTGATATTCAAACGAAGAGATGGAGAGAGATAAAGATTAGATTAGAAGGGAAGGAATCGAAGAAGAAGAAGAATTACACAAGTTACACCAATGTCTTCTCCGCCTTCTTCTCCGTCATCCCTGTTCTTCATTACACTATTAAAATTGCTAGCATCACAAATCTGAGATCCGGGCCGTCGTAGGTCCTACTGGTCCACGACCCAGATCGTTGAAAGACTGTAACAGATCTGGGATCCGGGCCATCGGGCCCTACTGGACCGACGGCCTGGACGTGGTCGTTGAACGAATGTAATAAATCTGTGATCTGGGCTGTCGGGCCCTGCCGGACCGACGGCCTGGATCGAGGCAGCCGTCATCCCCGGAGCTTGGGCCCAACGGCCCAGATCGCAGGCAACTTTGGGTACCTCACTCTGCCTTTGCCCATTGCAACAATGTGCGGTGCCGATCTGCACCATTTTTTTGTTCAACTTCGTGTCTGCACGTCCAAGGCGTATTCCATTGGCACCATTTTTTGTTGAACTTCATGCCTGCACGTCCAAGCCATAGTCCGTGCTGGGTATAGCCTAGAGCCATGTTGCCCGTGTTGTGTATAGCCTGCATGCAGTCCTGGATCGCCCTGCGAGGCGCTGACTCTCTCTCTCTCTCTCTCTCTCTCTCTCTCTCTCTCTCTCTCTCTCTCTCTCTCT